CTCTTCCCTACCTAGGTGGGTCATGGAGGCCTGCTTTGCATCAACATCTGTCCTTTACCCCTTACTTTCTGCTACTGTTCCCCTCCTATGTATACCAAATAGCTCTGCTATACCACTCCCTCTGCCCTGGTATTTATGCCTTGAACCTGCCAACCATGCTGAATCTCCCAGATCCATGAGCTAAATCGAACTTTTTCTCTCTGGGCCATGGGTGATAGCTTTGTGTCTCAATGGCAGGAAGGCTATAATATAGTCTGTATCTCTATCATTAAGGAAATATCAAGGGCTTTGATGCTTACTTGTTTTTATTTTCAAAATCAGGAAGTATCAGCCTTATTCTGTTCATTTTCAAGACGACTACTCATGGCCCTTTGCACTTACATATACATTGTAGCATTAGTTTTTCCTTTTATGGAACAGGCCATTAGAATTTTGACACAGGCTGTCTGATAAAGGGGAAAGCATTTCCTGTTCAGTTATTCTCTAATTTAGGCTGACAAAGACTTCACCTGCAGCTGCACCTGCAAGACCATGCAATCTCCTCAGACTCTGAGGCAGGAGAGAGACAACTGGAGGGTAACAGGTGTGTTTCAACTGACAGAGAAAATACTCCCATCAGTTCTTCCTAAAGTGCACGGTATATGCTAATACCTGTCTCAGCCACAATTGAGCAAGCACATGTAGAGAAATACACAATGTTGAACACCACTATTTTCTGTGCTCTGTGTTACCCATGCTGGATTAACTTTAAAAAATAAAACATTACTATTTAACTTTACAGAATACTTGGTGTATACTACAAATGTCCTGTGGTTTGTATATATACTCTGATAATATTCTTAGCCATTATTAGAGGATGAGATGATATTATTAATCTTTTCTGTGTTGGTCAGCTTTCCCTTCCCAGGACAAAATACCTGACTCTGGAAATTTAAAGGAAAGTTTAATTTTGGCTTAGAGTTTTAGAAGTTTTCATCCATGATTGGCTGACTACAACCTAGAAACAGCCTGTAGGAAGGGCATGGTAGAGGATGGATGCTCAATTCATGGTGGGAAAAAGCAGGAAGCCAAGGGACAGAGCCAGAGCAGGAAATATCACCTCCGAGGCTGGTGATCCACCTCCTCCAAGTGGGCCCCACCTCCCAACAGCCCATTCAGCCGTGAATTCACTGACTCACCCTCATGTTCCAAATCATTTTCCAAAAATCCCACCTCTGAGCACATGAGACAGTGGGCCACATCTTACATCTAAACCATAAAATATTCCTTACTGACATAAGCTGAAATTTGGAAAGGTTAAGTTCCCCAATTGGAGGCTCAGCTGGCTTAGTCACGGAACCAACTTGCAACTACACCCACACTTGTGACCATGAGAGCGATATGATAAGCCTTCCAGGGACTGAGAGTGCAGAGAGAACTGTGTAGAGGACAGAATGGATCAATCCCCTTTATGGGAGAAAAGCCATTCCCGGGTCTTAAGTGTAATAATGTGGTAAGGTTGTGGGGGATTTTTTTAAATATTTTTTGAGAAGGTGTTTTTAGGAAACAGAAAATAATCTATTACACAGAGGGTGACTGTCATGAACAGTATTGTAGTATATAATTCAAAATAGAAGAAAGGATTTTGAATATAGTATTTGAAACACAAGTAGTAACTATTTGGAGTAATGGATAACTAAAGTGCCCTGAGCTTGAAAGTACACCTTGTATATGTGTACTCAAAAGTCACACTGTACTTCATAAAGATATTCAATTATTGTCTGTCAATAAAATAAATCGTTAAATAAATACATAAAAATAAAATAATATAACAATTTTTTCTGAGAAGATGAAGCATCGTTGAAAAATAGTAAAACTGATACTAAAAAAAATCTTAAAACTACAACGAAATAGGAACGCATTACACTTGGGAATGGAAAATGATAAAGCCATTTCCATAAACAGTGGGGAGTTCTTATTCAATTAAGTATACTTACCATATAACCAAACAAACCAATTACTGAATATTTACTCAAATGAAATAAAAATCTATATTCACACAAAATTGTTAGCCAATGTTTAGATCAACTTTTTTCATCATCACCAAACACAAGATCAAGCAAAGCTACCCTGAAACAAGAGGGAGAAAAATAATGTTTAAACTTCATTTTTGATATATAACTCCCTAATAAAAATATTTTGCCGCAGATATAAGTAACAAAATGCACCCCAACTGAGTTTGTGCTAAGCAAAAGATCCTGCCATCAGAGACCACATTTCTAGGATTTGAAGAAAGGACATTTTTGCAAAGGCCAAATTATATAGAAAAATTGTTTACTAGTTCCCAGGAAACTGGGTACAAAAGAAGTTGACAACAAAGAGCTCAGTAAACTAGACAGTGCTCACATGACTATACATTTAACAGGCATTTTTAGAACTCTTATACTTTGTGCATATTGCTGTGTGTGATTTAGGCATTAATGAGTAATTTACAGAGCATATGTAAATACTCAAAATATCTAAGTTGTTCCCCACAGGCAGTTTGTTTCTTCCCTAGGAAAGAGGCAGAGACCTACAAAGGCTCTCGTGGGGAAGTCCCCCGAGAGCTCTATGCCTTTATAATCTACTCCTGCTTCCTATCCTGGGCTTCTGAAATCCCACAGGACTCCAGGCCACTTCATTTTACAGGGGCCAGACTGCAGTCCTACCCCTTGAATAGACTTTATTCATCTGAATGTAAACATTTGTTCATGCAAACAGGCTTTCTCTCAATTTTATGACTTTCTAGTAATTAAAGGCATGCCTCAAAATAAAAATTATTTTGAGTGACTTGAAAATGATAACTTCTACTTATAAATACAATCTGTGAATTGTGTGGCAGAGATCATTTTATTGATTTTATTTTACAGTTGAGGAGGAGGTAAGTGACTCTTCTAAGGAGCTAAAATAAAATACATGGTAGATTCAGGACTTGAATCCATATTAATACCCTTGTTCCATAGGTCCCTTCCTGCCTCAGATACCCAGGAACCATTGACCAGAGGGACAGCTTTTCTGCTAGAAGTGGTCCATTAATCCATGATTAAATTTTTTATTTTAGCTGCACTGTCGAGATTGCTGCATGTTTTCAAGGAGCTAAGCAAGCTACTATAATCAAAATGCACTCTTAGCAAAACTGTATGTTGTGTAGGAGACATGGAACAGCTATACTCACTGTGATTTATTGAGCACAGAAATTTGTTTTAATATTTTTTTCCTTAGAGGTGACTAGGGAATATAAATGGCTAAAATTCCATTGGTAGGCAGTCAAAAGTTACTTACGGTACAATATTTTGGTCCTCTAAAAAAATTTAGTCAAAAACAACAGTACAGGTGTTGTTGGTGTTGGAAATGTCCTCTTCTTCCCTAGATGGTAATTTAGCACTGGGGATAAAGAAAAACAAAACTAAGGGGTGAAAGAAGCCTTATTTGGGTTAAAAAAAAAAGCATCAAAAAGAATTAGCAAGTTCCGAATTTCATTTTAGTATGTTCTCTATAACTTTGTCCTTATCATTTCTGGCACATCCATCCACAATAATACAGTGTGACTAAATCACAAGTTGCTAATTATGTTGTTAATATGTAACTGTAGAGCATCATAAAACTCTCAAAGCTTTATTTGCCTTAATGGTAGAAAACAAAGTAGCAATACCTGCACATGGGTAAGACACACACACACACACACGCACGCACACACACGTGCACACACATCAAGCCAGGACTATTGTTAACATAGGAATATTTGCTAAATGGGCCCTGGGTGTTGAGTCTGCAAACATAATACTCTCAGGGCTTTGGATCATAAAGTGAACTTGCCAAAGGTTAAGGAAGAAGGTGGCTGGGAACAGCATTTAGCCTGGGATAGAAGCCTTTCAAAGACTTCACATTCAAATGAAAAGCACCAAAACACTATTCCTCCACAACACCAGCCTCAAGTGAAATATTTTTAAATTTTGCTATATTTTGATTTTAACTGACAAATAATAATTGCACATATTTATTAGGTTCAATGTGATGTTTTAATATCTATTGCCAACACTGAGTGTGCCACGGAAGACAGACTCCAGGCTAAGGTCGAGGCACAAACTGAATATTCAACCCTCAATCTCAGTAGCTCAAATACTGGTACATACTACTGAGAGAAAGAAGGAGCACAAGAAATGAACACTTTTTTCCCTCTTCCTTTCTTCCTTCCATTTTGTTTTGTGGGGTTTTTTTAGCTTCAGCTGTTGTTTATTGCCACACAGGTGGGCTCTGCAGCAAGAGGCCTGGAGGTTGTGGTCAGACTCTTTCAATGCCAAGCTAAACTATGGATTTCACGAAAGAAATTAAGCAAAACCAAAACATATAAAACTCCAAGCTACATGGGACAACTACAGCAGCCAGAGAATAGCTGGGGTGCATAGAGAGAATACCAGTGACCCTGTTGTGTGAGCAGAGCTACTGGGGCAAGCAGGTTTCAAGACTTCAAAACTCACCCACACCTGAAAACATAGAGTCCTTCATTCTGTTTGAATAATTCCTGTGTTCATGTGGCTCACAACTCAGAATTTAAAGATTCTTTTAATGCATCTTCACCTTTACTTTTCATAACAGTGTCTTCAGTAGATATCATTACTGTCTTTCTTCACACATTATGTGCATATGTATGTGTAAAACTTCAGATATACCATGTTGAATCATTCAGGAATTTACCAAATATTAGTTTATAACTATATAAAACTTGAAAACTGGAGAGAGTATTCCTGTAGATATTTCCAGTTAAACAGTCTGTAACTCTAAAGATAATTAAGGAAGTCAGTTTTTTAGGTAACTGCACATTCAGACATGGAGAAACTTGAAATACATATTTTTCTAACAAGGAACTCCTCATGTCATATAAACACTTTTACTTCAGTGGAAGATCTCTTCCAAAATATCTATTGACACTCTTGGTCTTTATTTTCCTTTGGTGCAGGCCATCTTCTGGTCCCCAAATAACAATGGTGGAGAACAGGACAGAGATGACTGAGTTCCTCCTGCTGGGACTGACTGATGACCCACACCTGCAGGTTCCCCTCTTCTTCACCTTCCTCCTCATCTACACCATCACTGTGGCTGGGAACCTGGGGATGATCCTGCTGATCCTCCTGGACCCTCATCTGCACACTCCCATGTACTATTTCCTGGCCAACCTGTCTCTGGTGGACTTTGGATACTCCTCGGCTATCACTCCCATGGTCATGGCTGGGCTGCTTACAGGAGACCAGGTCATTTCCTACAATGCTTGTGCTGCTCAGCTGTTCTTTTTTGGAGCATTTGCCACTGTGGAAAATTACCTCTTGGCCTCCATGGCCTATGACCGCTATGCCGCAGTGTGTAAGCCCCTACACTACACCACCACCATGACAACAAGAGCGTGTGCATGGATGGTCATAGCCTCCTACAGCTGTGGCTTCCTGACCGCCTCCATCCATGTCGGAGACATATTCAGTCTCTCCTTCTGTAATTCCAATGTACTCCACCATTTTTTCTGTGATGTTCCAGCAGTCATTGTTCTTTCCTGCTCTGATAGACATGTGAGTGAGCTGGTTCTTTTTTATCTTGAGTCCTTTAATATGTCTTTTGCTCTCCTTGTTATTTTGATATCCTATGCATTCATTTTTGTGACCATCCTAAGAATGCACTCGGGTGCAGGATATCAGAAGGCTCTGTCCACCTGTGCCTCCCACTTCACTGCCGTCTCCATCTTCTATGGGACAGCCATCTTCATGTACCTGCAGCCCAGCTCCAGTCACTCCATGGACACAGACAAGATGGCATCCGTGTTCTACACCATGGTGATCCCCATGCTGAACCCACTGGTCTACAGTCTGAGGAACAAGGAGGTCAAGAGTGCACTCATAAAAATTATTTTGAAGGCAAAAGAATCCTTAGAGTCTTGATGTTACTGGTGCAGAATGCCAATATCTAGACACAGCTATCTCTGACCTTCTTTTACTCAGTTTCATTTTAAGGCTCAGATTGATGTAAATCCTGGAGTGATATCCTTACTTCTGTGATCCTTTTTGTAGGAACAAGGAACATTTTGTGCAGAAATATAATACTGACAAGAGTAAAGAAGACATCTTAGGATCTGATTGTGGTTTTCACTGTTATTGCCTGTAATGTTAAACAGAAATCACTACAAATCTTTTTTAAAACAGGAGCACAAAGAAATCCAATAACAGATCATGCTTTGTAGCAATATATTTACATGAATTAGTACACTTTCCAGCCCTGCCTTTCTTTAAAAAATTACTTCAAATTCTCCATTATGTTTCTCTGTTAGAGAATTGAGTCCTTTCTCCATACCTTCTTGAAGCTCACAGACTTTTCTTCAGGTATTTTGGGAATTCTCAGTTTTTCCCTGATAGTTTGAAGACCTCTGTTGCTGAGTGATTGGGATTTTGCACCTTGTGCTGTCAGTTATGTGAGGTTAGGGTTTCCTAAAGATCCTGGGTGCTCATTGACAGGCAATACTTTCTGTACATTATCTGATTGCACACTGCAGATTATACCTTCATCATCTGACTTTCTTTGTGCCTGTCCTTCCAGAGCATCTGAGCAGCAGGCTTTTTTGTTCCTCTCAGCCTAAGACCACTTCCACTATTTCAGCACTAGATGAAGACTAAAGTCCAGGTTTGTCTTGAATCCATTTTTAGTGTATTGTCACCATTTCAACACTAGAGGGTACCCCAAGTCCGTGTGTGTTACAACCTGCAGTTGTGTTTTTCCTGTGAACTGTGGGATTGCCTCACACTGGTAGTCTATCCCTGAAAGCCTCTACCCAGGCCTGGGTGCTTCATGGACAGTCACAGACTTGTGTTCAAGAACTTCAGGACTAAGCCCAGGTCTAGGCCTCCTCATGAAGAAAAACACCTAACACCTCTGCAAGGATTTGATACTCACCTCACTTTTCATTCCCCAGCAGACAATTGTACAATTGCTCTCTCCATGCTGTTCTTAATAAGGCTGAGGAGCAATAGTGCAAACAGTGTGCTGCCCACCAATACTAAAACATGGGCTCATCCCTAGAGCCCATTAGGAACAGTGCAGCACAGAAGTAATACTAAGATGCTGAGTTAGATTCATGGCCCAAGACTACTGCAAACAGTCGTATGTGATGCTGGCTCAGATAGAAATTCTGTTGCCTGGGATTACAGATCTCCACCTGGCTTTGGGTTGGATCTGGAAACTATCTGTGTGTGGGCACTGTGCTAGGAAATAGCCATTAGAGCTGCCCAGTTTTAGGTTTTGCCAGCTCAACACCAAGTCTCAAGGCACAGCCCTATGCTCAACATCCTGCCCCTCCAGCCTGGAGGAAGAGTCCTACCCTCTGCTATGCTTCTTAAGTTTGGAAGAGTCCTTTTGCCACCCACATAGGCTGACATTAAGCTGCCTTCACCTTGGTCTCCTAGCCACAGGGACCCATGTAGATTTAAAGGATCTGCACCAGGCCAATGCCATTGCAGGCAGCGATGCCATCCAAAGTACAAGACCATCCTATCAGGGCACATGTCTCTGCCTGGTGCTGGGGTCTAGAGGCTGCATCTGTGAGCACTGGCCTGGGGATGGGGTGTTCATTTTCTGCCCTGCACTGAATCTGACTATAGTGGGCCTGGCACTGACTTCCAAGGCAAA